GCTATATGGACATGTTCTGGCTGAATATTAGTCAAGCTCACACCCTCCCCATCCTGCCACCACCCCAGTCCTGAGCCACACCTCTAACACTCTCACTGGGGGCTCCTTCCCATCCTGCCTGACATGGCCAGCCCTCTTCTGTCTCCTGTCCGCCTCTTGGGCCTTAGGGAGAAGGAGGAACTGTGCAGGGCAGGGGACAGGGCAATGGTCAGGGGCAGGAGAAAGGGCACTGGCGTGGCTGCACCCATGTCTAAGGGGGGTCCAGCATTAGATCCAGGGCAGGAGGCACAGAAGCGACTACTGGGTACTGTTTCTAAGCTCTAGGGATAAAGCAGTTCCACCAACGGGCAAGACTCTGTCCTGACTGAGTTTATAGCCTCCCGGGGGAGATAGGAGATAGGAAGAGGGTGCGCTAGTGCATGCGAGCACCGGGCACTGGGCTCGGCACGCAGGAAATGCTCAGCCCGTGTCCCGTCCTTCCACATCTTCGCAGCTTCCCCCAGGATTCTAACACATCAATAAAGCTGGAGCCCCATCTGGCTGAAAAAGTCAACCATCTGGAGACTTGGAAATATGGGGGAACTTCTAATGACTGGTTAATTTTTTTCAGTTTTTCAGCCAGATGTTTGATGTCATCCAGGCCCATCTGTAGCAGAAATAGCAGTTTATTGAAATTCTTTTCCATAATTTTAATTTCCCTGTCCTAAAATCTTAAATGGGCTTTCTTTTCTTAGCATGTATTTTTTAAAAATAAATCAGAAAAAGTGATTATTGACTAATGAAGAGCAATTTAGCAATCAAATGTAAAAATATAAGAAATTTGAATTTAAAGGCCTTTTAGATAATTTCCAGGGCTCAAAACGGGCAGCCCATGGGCCAAATTCAACTATAGGGTGAGTTTGATTTGGCTGACACCATGTTTTTAAAAAGTTAAATTAGTTGCCCACTTTTTAAAAATCAAGAGAGTTTATATCTGGCATTTAAAAATTTGGAACATTGGGCCAAATTGGTACACAATTCCCCAGGTAAAAATCAACTTAAGCTAAGTAGTAATTGTCCCTTAGATGGGGCTCATGTTCTCCAATTTGCCACAGTCCCCACCACTCTCTATTGCCCCCACACTGAGACAAAGTTTCAGTTGCCATATTTCTTCTTAAATTCAGTGCTACCCCCTCCCTCCCCCATAGAATTGAATTGAAAGGACTGTGAAATGCCTTTTTCACGCTTCACCTTATCTGCCTAGTCCACATGGAAATTTGGATTTGATGCTCCCTAATCTTAGCTGAAGCTCTCATTTTAGATTTGGGTAAACTGAGGCCCAAACAAGGAAAAGAACATAGAAAAATTGGCATGGCTGTTAGTCACAAGATGGGATTAGCTGCCACAGTTTCTTGCTCCTAGGCCAGGGCAGTGGTCTTTCCACTATCTCAGTACATCACTCGGGTTGTATCTAGGGTTTCTCCAAATGAGGGCATCACATGTCAAACATGCTCTCATTCAGATTCACGCGCTGCTATTGAAGCCCGCAGCAGGCTGGGCTCTGCTCTGTGAATGCCTTGCATGCTTTCCAGGTAATGAGTCAGGCATTCGTTTTGGTTTCTCAGCGTGGGTGTCTCTACATAGGTCGATTGTTTTTTCATTCAAAGCATGTCCTGCGCTGCCTCTGAGTTCGCGCCTGTCTGGTGGCTCCGTGGCCCTGCGACGCTGCACAGGCACCCTGCGCCTTCTGGGGGCGGAGACGCCACGTGCCTGGGCATCCTCACAGGCTAATGCCTGTGCCAGCAGCAACCCGTCCACAGGGCGCGGGCTAATGTTCTCCAGAAAATGCCCTGAGAAGCAGCATGGCGTAGGGGAAATAGGCAACTGCTGAGTGGAGGTATGTGACCTTGGGAAAGCTATGTAACTCCTCCAGCCTCAGTTTCCTTGTCTGTAAAATAAGGGTAATAATAATACCTATATCACTGAGCTCCTTTGAAGATGACAGTTAATTTTTCAAAAATTTTGGAACAGTCCTTACACCTAGTAAATGCTAATATAAACAACATCCTGGTGAGTTATGGGAATGAAAACTAGAAACATCCCCCATCGGGCTTCAACACACTCAGTCACTCAGGCCCCTTGTAAATACTCAGTACATGTTGGCTGGAACATGACAATTGCTTGGAGGGTTTTCAGGAAAGTCAGACCCCAGGGATCCACTGCAGGCCTATGGAAGCAGAGAATCTAGTTGCGGGGCCTGGTAATCTATTCTTTTTAAGCTCCTTATGTGATTCTGATGACTAGCCAAGTTTGAAAGCAGTTGATGTGCTTGAATGTCTTTCTTATACTTGAACATCTTTGGTGTGGGGAACTGATCACCTCTTAAAGCTGCACGGAATACATTTTTATACTGAGGCAAAACCTGTTTACCTCGAGCTCCCACTTCTACCCCCTTGAGGCCACACAGACCGTTCCAAATCTTTTTCATACGAGAGCTCTTCAGATACTGCAGACAGCTGTCGTATCCCTGCTGAGCACTCTCTTCTTTTGGACAAAATGGCTATATTTGCTCATGGAAAAAAAAAGTATGGATGAACTGACTCTTCTAATTTGATGTCTTAAAAAAATGAGTTACAAGCCCCCTCCTCGCCCCAAGTTATCCTTTGACACTTAAAGGACCAGAAAACACAGGGATGCCGGGGCTCTGGGAGACAGGGAACAGCAAGCAGGAGGCGGCGAGCACCTTCGCTCCCTCCGAGCACGGCTCTGCCTGCTGCCGCGTCTGCCCAGAGGCTCCTGCAAATTCCTTCAGCGCTTGGTGTAGTCAGCACATGAAGAAAAATCTTGGCGTGTTTCAGCCAAGCCCATCTAGGCGTTGTACACATAGCTAAAATTTTATTGTGACTCATTAAAGTTTATGCATCTTACTGTATTTGATATTTCAAAACTAAACAAAAATGTAGCTGGGTCAACCCATATGAAGAAGGCAACACATTTTCCCAAAAGGATTCACCTGAGCAAGAGCATATCTTACACTCATCCAGCTCCTACTTGACTGAGATTTTCTCTCCTCTCAGAATGTCTGGGTGGGGCTCTGATTCCTTGTACAAACTGGGCACAGGGTGTGATGTTGGAGAAAAGAGAAGCCAGCAGTTGAGAAATGCTAAGGGTTCAGGAATCTTAAGCCCTAAAGGGGGAAGCTAAAATTGGTGTTTAGTTGTGCATTCCAAGGTTTAGTTCTGAGAGGCAGAAGAATCAGAAATAACTGTATCTTGGTCTACGTGTGTAGATATTAGTAGGAGTCTCAGATTTTTTGTGCCATCCCTAGAACCAGGTAGGTATCAAAATATCCACAAATTGCAGCTTTACAAAAGATAACTCAATTCCTTATTGTCAATATGAGAGAGAATTATGGAATTTCCCTGAGGTAAATGACTTCACCATACCCAACCACAAATGACCACAAATGTTAGCTTTTGTCAAGGTTTAGGAAAAAATTATTCTAGAATTTCCATCAGTACACTGGATAGAGTATGAGGTTTAAGTGGTGCTAATTTAAGACCACCTATTCCAAATTAATCATTTCCCAGATTAACAAACTGAGGGTTAAAGAGAGCAAATGTCTTAACCAAGGTCATACAGATAATTTGCAGCATTACCCAGGTATTCTGACTTCATGTACAGTGGCCCTTCTTGCATTTAAAGTAGTTCTTTCCCACCAGTTGCAAATCTGCATTGGAAACAGACTCATCTGTAGTAACTCTTGCAGTCAGGAGAGCAGTTGTTCAGTGTCAGGACATGGGAAGAAGGCCAGGGAATGAAGCAATATTACACTAGCAAGTGATGTCATAGCATGACTTCCCTACGCGACTGACATAAATGCAAGTTTTCAGGAAGCCCTGACAAGTGCCAGCCAGTGAGAACGCAGGCATGGAGAACCAATGACGAGCAGGGCAAGGAGGCATACAGGGAACCCAGATTTCCTTACCCATCAAGGAAGCTTCTCAGATTCCTTAGAAGCCCAGGAAAACTCCCTTCTAACGCTTTAATCCAGGGCCTTCCCTCAGGCACACAGGTTCCAAAAGCTTTGATTTTGTTCTGTCTTTCTGCTTTCTCCTCTGACATCCAGCCAGTGCCCAGAGATGCTCAGAGTGACTCCGGTGCAGTGAAAGCAAGGTTAATAGTGAGACAGGCCACCCAAGGGCTTGACTTTCTAAAATCAATCTCTCATCTTCATTGTAATTGAGAGCGAATTCTCAATTTTTAAACTTAGAAGCGGTAAGCTGCCATTCTTGGAGAATCAACCTTATGCAAATATCTTTGGAATATATTTGTTGGGTTTGGGGATGATTTAGGAAAGAAGACAGACAGGTGGATACCAAATACCAAGACTTAAGTTTTGTTTTGATCCCCAAATAACAAAATGTGTATTTAGAAGGAAATTTTCTGAAAGTGTGTGTGTGCATGTGTGTGTGTAGGGGTTCACATATGTTAGTCTGGAACTGGTTGGCTATGGAAGTTCATGAAAATACCTAGTTAGACCAAACTCAGAAGAAACTGATAAGACTATGTTGAGAAATAAGGAAATAGCTTTGAGTGTATCAGGCTAAGTCAGGGGGTCTCTCCCTTTCCCTTTCCCTCTCCCTCTCCCTCCCTCCCCCTCCCTCACTGAAATGCAATTTAAGCAGAGCCAAAGACCCCATCTCAAGCCAGAGGTCAAAGCAGTTCACAATATGACTAGAGATTGTGTATTTGAAGGTTTTTCTCAATTGCAGAAGCTGCCTAGAGTGCCAAAAATCCCACCTCATGAAGCTAATGCCAAAAACAATCAGTAAGATCCAAACCCTTCATCCCACACAACACAGCATTCTTCCTGCTGGAAACAGCCTGGACACCTGCACCGTCTCATCAATAATGTGAACCCTTCTTTTCTCCCATCCACTGCCTGCACCTCCCCCAAGCCCCCAGGGGGACATCAGGATATCAGAAACCGGGTTGTTATGCGAGGAATCTGTAAATACCTTCCAGGCAGCAGGTCCTCCACAGCCCCGAGTGTGTCATTACCTCTTCATTCTTCCTGCTGGTTTCATTATCACTTGTAGATTTAGTCCTGCACACGCCCCTGGAATATAACCAGTAGTCCGTGCCCACTGCAATGGTCATTAAGCTAAAAGCTGCGAAGGCTCCCACAGTGGTGATCAACATCTGGATACCTCTGTCACACATCCTCATAATTCTTCATGGTATTCTGAATGGCTGGGGTTGAAGGGGAAGTTCAATGCCAGAGGAAAAAAAATCACTCTGTAGCTGGGTAACCTAGGACAGGCTCTTCCAAAAATTCGGGTCTCCTTCTGTCGGCATCCACAGGGACTTTGGGAAAGCTGGGGTTTCCTGTCTGGAGCTCTCTCCAGCTCCCTGGCTCGCCTATGGCCCTCGGAAGGGTGCAGGCTCTAGGGGGTTGGTCCGCATCACTGCTGCCTTCTGAGGGCCCCTGGGTTCCTTTCATTCCTCAGGAGCTTGGTAAAGATGAGGGTCCGTGCACGGCATGGCTCCGGAGCCTGGAGCCGCCAGTTCGGTCTGAGATGCGCCTGGCTCCTCACAGCCCCTGGAGACTCAAGGCAAAGAAATCCGGAGAGGTCCGTGTGTGTGCGCGGCCTCGCGCGTGCGTGCATGCATGCGTGTGTGTGTGTGCGCGCGCGAGCGCGTGTGCTGGGGTGAGGGCGGATGGCAAAAAATAGCACTGCTGGGAGGCGAGTCGCTGAGAAGAGTGCTCGCTGCTTCCCCAGCCTCCCAGGAAAGCTCTCCGCCTGCTCGCGACACCCCCGCTCAAACTGGGGGAGAGACAGTCCCGGGGCGGGGGCCGGGCTTCGGCGGAGGGCGCGGGGCGCGGTGCTGAGCGGACAGCTCCAGCCTGTC